TATGAATTAAGTATAGAATTTTCTCAGGAATCCGAATCTGCAAACCAAATCTCAATCCGACTTCTGGTTCGGAAGTTATGACATTTTGAAAGCTCAAAACTCGTTAAATTTGGTGCCCCGTGTTATGTCAATGGGAAAAAAGATTTTTTTGAAGTGTAAAATACAAGATATAGACTAATTACAGCTTAAAATAATGAAAGCCTATGAAAGAAGGGAACCTCGAAGGCTACCTAATTTCAAAATTTGGATACCAAAATCCCTAGGTCAAAATCTAGGTCAAATTCATAGTTTATCCTTATTTTTGCGATTCTGACACTACACTTTAATTATATTCCTCGAAATTGTGTATACATGTAGCCAAGAGTGTGCTCATAGCGTGAGCCTTTTGCCGTCAGGAAGTATTTTGACCCACTTTTGAGATATGGTGTCCGAAAAGTAGGTCAAAATAAAAAGTTCTCCAAATTTAACGTTTGAGTTATGAATTAAGAACAGAATTTTCTCAGAAAACTAAATCTGCTAACCAAATTTCGATTCGACTTCCGGTTCCGAAGTTATGGCGTGTCCGAAAAGTAGGTCAAAATAAAAATTCGCCAAATTTAACGTATGAGTTATTAATTAGGGGTAGAATTTTGTCAGGAATCCGAATCTGCAAATCAAATTTCGATCCGTCTTCCGGTTCGGAAGTTATGGTGTTTTGAAATTTCAAGAAAAATCGATCTGATTGTATCCTGATAGAAAGTCAAGAGTAGAGAAGAAAATATTGAAAAATGCATCCATCCTTCCTTTCTGATCCTATCCTTCCTATCTACCCTTATCCTTCTTTCCTATTCTATCCTATCGTTACTTCCTATTCTATCGTATCCTTCCTATTCTATCGTATCCTTCCTTCCTTTTTCATCCACCCATCCATCCATCTTTTTCTGGATGACTTAGCTTATTTTGGATGACTTGGCTTATTCTGGATGACTCGGCTAAAAAAAAGTCTAGATCTGGAGTCTGAAATTACCAAAATCTAGTTATTATTCTTTTTCTAAACCAGTTTTCTTAATAACCATAAGGTCTTCAGTAAAGTCAATCATTTGGTCAATTTAGGTTCAGTATCTAGTTCCTCGGAAATTGGGTCAAATTTTTATCTAGGTCAAAGGTCAAGAACTAGGTCAAATCCAGTACTTTGTCACTTTTTTTCGATTTTCTCGGTCGTCCTTCAATATTTTTGATCCAGGTTTTTTTCATTGTGTTCCTTATAAAAAAGTAGGAAAGCCAGGCTCGATTTAGTTTTTTGATATCTCAAACCGATTTCGAGATATCAGTGTCCGAAAACGAGGTCCAAAAAAAATTCTCAGAATCATATTGTCCAGGATATTAGTCTTATAGGAAATGTTCTCAGGATTCCGAATCTGAAAACCAAATTCGAATCAGACTTCCGGTTCGGAAGTTATGGCGTTTTGAAAACTCAAAAATCGCTAAATTTGGTGCCCATGTTAAGTCAATGGGAAAAAAGATTTTTTTGAAGTGAAAAATACAGAATATAGACTGAGTTCAGCTTCATATAATCAAAGCCTTTAAAGGAAGGGGACCTCAAAAGCCACCTAGCTTGAAAATTTGGACACCAAAATGCCTAGGTCAAAATCTAGGTCAAATTCATGTGTTTTCCTTATTTTTTCGATTCTGACACTACACTTTAATTATATTCTTCGAAATTATGTATACATGTAGCCAAGAATATGCTTACAGTGTTAGCCTTTTGCCGTCAGAAAGTATTTTGACCCACTTTTGAGATATGGTGTCCGAAAAGTAGGTCAAAATAAAAAGTTCTCCAAATTTAATATATGAGTTATGAATTAAGGGAGGAATTTTGTCAGGAATCCGAATCTGCAAACCAAATTTCGATCCGACTACCGGTTCGGAAGTTATGGCGTGTCCGAAAAGTAGGTCAAAATAAAAAATCTCCAAATTTAACGTATGAGTTATGAATTAGGGGTAGAATTTTGTCAGGAATCTGAATCTGCAAACCAAATTTCGATCCAACTTCCGTTTCGGAAGTTATGGCGTTTTGAAATTTCGAGAAAAATTGATCTCATGGTATCCTGCTAGAAAGTCAAGAGTAGAGAAGAAAATATTGAAAAATTCATCCATCCTTCCTATCTGATCCTATCCTATCCTTCCTATCTATCCTTCCTTCGTATCTTATCCTTCTTATCCTATCCTATCCTATCCTATCCTATCCTTTCTTTGTATTCTATTCTATTCTATCCTATCCTATCCTTCTTTCTTATTCTATCCTATCATTCTTTCCTATTCTATCCTATCCTACCTTCCTATTTTATTTATCCATCTTTTTCTGGATGACTCAGCTTATTCTGGATGACTCGGCTTATTCTGGATGACTCGGCTAAAAAAAGTCTAGATCTGGAGTCTGAAATTGAACTTCGTTCAATTTCCAAAATCTAGTGAAGTATGAGGACGAAATCTGAGAAACTTAGAAAAAACTTTGATTTGACCTAGATTTTGACCTTTGACCTTGACCTAGATAAAAATTCCTTTCCCGGTAAGTTCAACCTAGGTCCCTAGTAGGTTCATATAGTAGATAGTTGAAATCTAGTTAGAAGTAGGAGAAAAAGTGCAGAGAAGAATAAATAATAATAAAGAATAATAATAACTAGATTTTGGAAATTGAACGAGATCAATTTCAGACTCCAGATCTAGACTTTTTTTAGCCGAGTCATCCAGAATAAGCCAAGTCATCCAAAATGAGCTAAGTCATCCAGCAAAAGATGGATGGATGGATGGATGAAAAAGAAAGGATAGGATAGAATAGGAAGGAACGATAGGATAGAATAGGAAAGAAGGATAGAATAGAATAGGAAGAAGGGATAGAATAGGAAGGATAGGAAGGAGAGGATACGAAGCAAGGGTAGATAGGAAGGATAGGATAGAATCAGAAAGGAAGGATGGATGCATTTTTCAATATTTTCTTCTCTACTCTTGACTTTCTATCAGGATACCATCAGATCGATTTTTCTTGAAATTTCAAAACGCCATAACTTCCGAACCAGAAGTCGGATCGAAATTGATTTGCAGATTCGGATTCCTGACAAAATTCTACCCCTTATTCATAACTCATACGTTAAATTTGGAGAATCTTTTATTTTGACCTACTTTTCGGACACCATATCTCAAAAGTGGGTCGAAATACTTTCTGACGGCAAAAGGCTAACACTATTAGCACACTCTTTCCTACCTGTATACAAAATTTTGAAGCAAATCATGCATTCAGATATAGTGTCAGAATCGCAAAAATAAGGAAAAACTATGAATTTGACCTAGATTTTGACCTAGGGATTTTGGTGTCCAAATTTTGAAGTTAGGTAGCCTTCGAGGTCCCCTTCTTTCATAGGCTTTCATTATTTTAAGCTGTACTTAGTCTATATCTCGTATTTTACACTTCAAAAAATTCTTTTTTCCCATTGACATAACATTGGGCACCAAATTTAGCAATTTTTGAGCTTTCAAAATGTCATAACTTCCGAAACGGAAGTCGAATCGAAATTTGATTTGCAGATTCAGATTCCTGAGAAAATTCTATACTTAATTCATAACTCAAACGTTAAATTTGGAGAATTTTTTATTTTGACCTACTTTTCGGATACCATATCTCAAAAGTGGGTCAAAATACTTTCTGACGGCAAAAGGCTTACACTATTAGCACACTCTTGGCTACATGTATACAAAATTTCGAAGAATATAATTAATCTGTAGTATCAGAATCGCAAAAATAAGGAAAAACTATGAATTTGACCTAGATTTTGACTTAGGCATTTTGGTGTCCAAATTTTTATGAAAAGAAGGTTTTGAGGTCCCTTTCTTTTATGGGCTTCCATTATGTTTAGCTGTGCTTAGTCTATATCTCATATTTTACACTTCAAAAAAATATTTTTTCCCATTGAATTAACATGGGGCACCAAATTTAGCGATTTTTGAATTTTCAAAACGCCATAACTTCTGAACTGGAAGTCAGATTGAAATTTGGTTTTCAGATTCGGAATCCTGAGAAAATTTCCTATAAGACTGATATCCTGGACATTGGATTCGGAGAACTTTATTTTGGACCTCGTTTTCGGACACTGATATCTCGAAATCGGTTTGAGATACCAAAAAACTAAATCGACCCTAGGTTTTCTACTTTTTTATAAGGAACACATTGAAAAAAAACAGGATCAAAAATATTGAAGGACAACCGAGAAAATCGAAAAAAGTGACAAAGTACTGGATTTGACCTAGTTCTTAACCCTTGACCTAGAAAAAAATTTGACCCAATTTCCGAGGAACTAGATACTGAACCTAAATTGACCAAATGATTGACTTTACTGAAGACCTTATGGTTATTGAGAAAACTGGGATAGAAAAAGAATAATAAGAATAAGAATAAGAAAACTGACGAAAACAATAGACTCCAGATTTTCAATCTGGAGTCTAATAAATAATATCTATAAAATTAATAGGAGGCCTCCTAATAAAAAAAAAAAATAATACACTATATCTTATTTTCATATTTTGAGGGGATATACATGTAGGCTCAAAATATTATCCCTTATTGAGAGTGTAGATGCATTAATTGGGTGCAGATGCAATTCTTTCTCTATGTAAGCATTTCCTGTCAAACTTGGATAAACTATATTCAGCAAATATACATGAAAGGACTACAGTAGTCTGTTTGGTGAACGAAGTTCATCAGTCTACTGCATGTTACGTCTGCTTAGGACAGTTTTGATATTTTTACATATTGTAGATTTAAATGTTCTCTTTTGAATATTCTTAATTTAATTTGGGTGTTATTTCTAAATTATTAGCCCATTAGACTTTTCTCCAAACCGACACTTGTCTTTTGTGTAGAAGCAAAATAATAAAACCTGAAAATAGTAATCACCCTTTTGATATATTGAATATACATGTATGTACAGGTATGTTGTAATGATGTTTACATTTACTTTCTATTATAGCACCCACAATGTTTGAAAGCTACAAAGCAGGCCATCCTGTCAGTTGGAAAGTGAAGACCATTGCAGCTGGTCTGGCACCTCCTTATGCAGGTGAGAAAATGGAAAATGTTTAATATGAAATATTGAATGGAACAGAGTAGAATTAGCATGGATAAGGTCAGACATGTAGGCAACATAGTAAACGCTACAGAAATACCAGAAATTCCTATTCTTCATTTAGAAAATATGTGGAAACAGATTTACGTTATTATATGCAGGTCATCAAGTTGAGATGATTGTGTTGTAAAATCCAAAATAAAGTGAAATGGCGGAATGAAATTCCTTTAATGTTGCCAGTTGAGGATATTTGATCAGATTCTTTCTATTATGAAAATTCCAAGATTCATATTTTTCCTATGTTAACTTTTAGACTTTCTTTTAATTCACTTATCACTTGTCTGATTTCTTTCATTTCCAGGACCTAATACATATAGAAACTGCAAACAATATGTAGATGATATCATACTAGTGTCAGACTCAGAGATTAAAACTGCTGTAAAAACTCTATATGATAAAGGAATAGTTGCCGAGCCCTCAGGTAGTGCTGCTTTTGCCGCCCTCTGTCATGATAAAGTGCCTGATGTGAAGGGTAAAAAGGTGGTGTGTGTTATCACTGGGAGCAATGTGTCACCAGAGGAACTTGTGGAGCTTATGAAGTAGCACCAGATAGTTTCTACCTAAAATCCTAGGGTGTCATGTTTTAAAATGCAAAATTGAGTTAAGAAATTAAAATAACAAGGGATAAAGTAAACAGACATTTAGTCTACAGTTTAAATTGTCAAGAAAAAGTTGATGAAAATGAAATAGTCTCCACATACTCTAAAAATAAATGACTTTGAATAAGTATGAGCAGATGGTCATTTCAAATATGGTTCGAAACGACTTTTTAATCATTCTGATTTAATCATTCTGATAAAAAATAACTTGAGGTGTTTAAGGTAGGCAGGGTGTGCCAACTTTGTTACCTGTTTGTTTATGACATCAGTATATACGATTACATGTAACTGCTCCATATTAAAAGATGGATTAATATTATCCCATCGAACGAAGTTCAAGGGGGATACAGGAAAGCTGTCTGTGAGGAATCTGCTTTTATGTAGCCTAGTCACAAGCCTGAGGAACCTGCTTTTATATATGATGTGGATTTTTAAATCATATCTCTTGAAAGCCCATGGTATAAGTTAAAACATATGATTAATTAAATCCTGAATATGACAAACAAATGAAATAAAATCATATCATATCTCTTGAAAGCCCATGGTAGATATTAAAATGCTAGTCTGAATTTATCTTTGTGTAAAGATTGTATGCTTCCGTTGCTCTTTAACATAACATGTGGGACAGTGTATTTAAATATTACAAGATGTCTGTTCTTCTGTCCGTCCGAGAAGGAATTTTCAATATGGCCACTCAATGCAAAATGGCTGCCATTTTTTGTAAAAAATGTAATCTTTGATTACTCAAATACTAGTTGACGGATTTGGTTCAAATTTCATATGCTGATGCTGAAAAAGATATATTTTAAAATGACTATTAAATTACAAGATGGAGACCATTTTTTGTAAGAAAAACATAATCGTTGATAACTCAAATACAAGTCAATGGATTTGGTTCAAATTCTATATGATTAATTATGCCTAGGGACAAAGTAGATTCTTTCAAGAAAGAATTTTCAAGATGCCTGCGGAATTTAAAAATGACCGCCATTTTTCATAAAAAACGTAGTCTTTTTTAACTCAAATACCTTGGAGGAAGAAGAAATTTTCAAAATGGCTGTTGAATATAAAAATGGCGGCCATTTCTTGTAAGAAATGTAATCTTTGATAACCCAAATACCAGTGAACCGATTTGGTTCAGATTTTATATGATGATGCCTTGGGACAAAATATCAGAAAATAAATTAATTAAAAAAAATAATAACTAGACATATAAATTGAACAAGTTCAATTTAAGACTCCAGATTTCAGACTTTTTTTAAGCTGAGTCATCCAAATACTTGTAAGCTGAGTCATTCAGAATAAGCTGAGTCAGCTAGAATATAGACATTTAGACAACTCTTAAGAATGTTATCTTCGACTCCATTGGCTTAACATGGGGATATCATCATATCGACTTTTCGAGACTTCAAACCGCTATAACTATCTAATCAGAAGTTGGATCGAAATTTGGTTTAAAGATTCTGATTCCTGAGAAAATTCTACCCTTAATTCATAACTCATACGTTAAATTTGGAGAACTTTTTATTTTGACCTACTTTTCAGACACCATATCTCAAAAGTGGGTCAAAATACTTTCTGACGGCAGAAGGCTAATACTATAAGCACACTCTTTGCTACCTGTATACAAAATTTCGAAGTAAATCATTAAAGTGTAATGTCAAAATCGCAAAAATAAGGAAAAACTATGAATTTGACCTAGATTTTGACCTAGGCATTTTGGTGTCCAAATTTTAAAGCTAGATAGCCTTCGAGGTCCCCTTCTTTTATAGGCTTTCAGAATGTTAAGCTGTACTCAGTTTATATCTGGTATTTTACACTTCAAAAAATCTTTTTTCTCATTGACATAACATGGGGCACCAAATTTAGCGATTTTTGAGCTTTCAAAATGCCATAACTTCCGAACCGAAAGTCAGATTGAAATTTGGTTTGCAGATATGGATTCCTGGGAAAACTCTACCCTTAATTCATAGCTCATATGTTAAATTTTGAGAATTTTTTATTTTGACCTACTTTTCGGACACCATATCTCAAAAGTGGGTCAAAATACTTTCTGATGGCAAAAGGCTAACACTATTAGCACACTCTTTGCTACCTGTATACAAAATTTTGAAGTAAATTATTAAAGTGTAGTGTCAGAATCGTAAAAATAAGGAAAAACTATGAATTTGACCTAGATTTTAACATAGGCATTTTGGTGTCCAAATTTTGAAGCTATGTAGCTTTTGAGGTCTCTTTTATAAGCATTCATTATGTTAAGCTGTACTCAGTCTATATCTTGTATTTTACACTTCGAAAAAGTCTTTTTTCCAATTGACTTAACATAGGCACCAAATTTAGCGATTTTTGAGCTTTCAAAACGCCATAACTTCCGAAACGGAAGTCCGATCCAAATTTGGTTTGCAGATTCAGATTTCTGAGATCATTCTACACTTATTTCATAACTCACATGTTGAATTTGGAGAACTTTTTGTTCTGACCTACTTTTCGGACGCAATATCTCAAAATCGGTAAGAGTAATCAAAAAACGATTTGCCTTATGGAATTAGCGTTTTTTCCAAGGAACATGATGAAAAAAAAACCGAAGCGAAAATATTGAAAGACGACTGAGAAAAGTGGTGAATTAGTGAAAATCCAAGATTTGACCTAGTTCACCTATGACCTAGATAAAAATTTGACCTAATTTCCCAGAAAGCCAGATACATTCCCTAGTCAACCATGTAGGTTGGATTGAGTAAGATGTTATAGTTGGAGAGAAAATCTGTTAGGAGGAAGAAGAAGAAAAAAGAAGAATAACTAGACTTTGGAAATTGAACAAGTTCAATTTCAGACTCCAGATTCAGACTTTTTTAGGCGTGTCATCCAGGAAAAGATGGATGGATGGAAATAGGAAGGAGGGATAGGATAGAATGGGAAGGAACGATAGGATAGAATAGGAAAGAAAGATAGGATAGAATAGCAAGGAAGGATAGGATAGGAAGGAAAGGATAGGAAGGATAGATATGAATGATAGGATAAGATGGGAAGGATAGGATGGAATAGGAAGGAACGATAGGATAGAATTGGAAAGAAGGATAGAATAAGAAGGAAGGATAGGATAGGAAGGAAAAGATATGAAGGGAGGATAGATAGGAAGGATGGATGGAAGGATAGATGGATTTTCCAACATTTTCTTTGCTACTCTTGACTTTCTATGAGGATACCATCAGATCGATTTTTCTCGAAATTACAAAACGCCATAACTTTCGGATCTGAAGTCGGATTGAAATTTGGTTTGCAGATTCGGATTCCTGAGAAAATTCTACACTTAATTCATAACTCAAACGTCAAATTTGGAAAACTTTTTATTTTGACCTACATTTCGGACACCATATCTCAAAAGTGGGTCAAAATACTTTCTGACGGCAAAAGTCTAACACTATTAGCACACTCTTGGCTACATGTACATGTATACACAATTTTGAAGAATATTATTGAAGTGTAGTGTCAGAATCGCAAAAATTTGACCTAGATTTTGACCTAGGCATTTTGGTGTCCAAATTTTGACGCTAGATGGCTTTTGAGGTCCCCTTCTTTTAAAAGCTTTCATTAAATTGAGCTGAACTCAGTCTATATTTCATATTTTTCACTTCAAAAAAATCTTTTTTCCCATTGACTTAACATGGGCACCAAATTTAGCGATTTTGAGCTTTTAAAATGACATAACTTCCGAACCGGAAGTCGGATCGAAATTTGATTTGCAGATTCAGATTCCTGACAAAATTCTACCCCTAATTCATAACTCATACATTGAATTTGGAGCATGTTTTGGTGTGACCTACTTTCCGGACGCCATATTTTAAAATCGGTAAGAGTAATCAAAAAACGATTTGCCTTACGGAATTAGCTTTGTTTCCAAGGAACATGATGAAAAAAAACGAGAAAAAATATTGAAGAACAACTGAGAAAATTGGTAAAATGATGAAAATACAAGATTTGACCTAGTTCTTGACCTTTGACCTAGATAAAAAATCGACCCAATTTCCGAGAAACTAGATACTGGACCTAAATTGACCATATACAGGACTTGACTCAATGTCTTCTAGTTAAGGAGAAAACGTGTTTAGAATAATAACTAGACTTTGGAAATTGAACAAGTTCAATTTCAGACTTCAGACTCAAAACTAGGTCAACATGTAAGCAAGTAGGTGTAATTCAACCAGTGAGCAAAATTCAAATATCATTGTCAAAACTGACAGTGACTGATGTATAACTCTACAGGATTACTTATGAATGTCTAGTGCATGTATTTACTGGATTATAGTAGCAGATACTGGATCATATTTCCATATTTGAGTGTCTTTTAGATGTAAAATATTTTGAGGATAAAATCAGCACCTGAGGGATCGATCATTCTCAACATAGTGTAATAGATAATATTTATTCAACTTCTGAAGGTGGACTATCCTTTGGTATGCAAAGATATCTCACCCCAGTGCAAACATCTGTCAAGCGCAAGGCACCAAAGAAGACAAAATCACCTATTAGCCCCAGTATGACGAGTCCTCCGACTAAAAATCAAAAACCTCTCTCAACTGTTGAAAAACTTGAGGAACTATCTCAGAAGGTAGAAACTTTGTCAACCAAACAAGAGGAGTCTGATCGTCGTGTTCATGAGCTTGAACTGGAGAATGCCTACCTTTATCACATTGTTGCAATGCTTGATGGGCGCATAGCTAATAACGATGATAGAATTGGATCCCTTAAGGAAGGTCTAACTGACATACGTTTCCGTTCAATGAAGCAGAATGTTATTATAAGAAATCTGCCCCAGTCTAAGGATGAGGTTTGCTGCAATGTAGTTAGAGACTTTCTGAAAACCAACCTGAAGGTACCAAACGAGCTTATTGAATCTCCTGAAAATCCAAATGGATCCATAAAGCTTGACGTTGCTCACAGATTCGGCTCTAAGTTTAACAACACACAAATGATGGTTGCCAAATTTGTTAACCGTAAAAGCAAAATCAACGTCATGTCATATGCTCGTAATCTGGCTGGGTCAAATATCTCCATCTCTGATCAACTTCCCCCCAAAATGCTCCAGAAGAGGAACGCACAGTATCCCCATTTCAAGGAACTCAAGCTTAAAGGGGAACATGCAACACTGAGACAAGATGTTCTCAAGGTAGATGGTGAAATAGTCGATCCCCAGTTCTGCAAGAACAAACTACCCCTTGACATTCACCTGGATCCCTCTATGATAACCAAGTCTCTGAGTCAATCAAAAACTCATTTTGAGCAGGGAACAAAGATCTTGGCGCATGCTTCAGTCGTGGTGAACCAGCAAGAAGCTAAAACTGCTTTATGCAAGGTATATGAGAACCGTGACTATGCTACCGCGTCTCACAATATATACGCCTACAGAGTGAAACTTAATGATACGATTGTGGAAGGGCATAACGATGATGGAGAGTATTGATCAAGCAAGGATATCCTTAAGCTTCTACAAGACAAGGGAATCAGCAATGGGATTGTCATTATTACAAAATGGGATGGTGTCCGAGGTCTTGGCCGCAAGACAAAGGAGATTTTGCTAGCCACTGCCACTGAGGCTCTCATACAAAGTGGCCACACTTCTTAGCCTGTGGGATTCTACTTTAAGTAACATTGACAGGTCCCCAATACACAAGGCTATATACAAGTCCTAACTATTAACCTTTACATGTACTATAGGTTCCTGTACTTTTACAGTGCTATATACTGCATAGGAAAGACCTATAAACCATACTTATAATCCTGATGTTTGATATTTAAGCTGATTGCCTCATTTGATGATTGCCAGAGTTACAGTGAATTTATTATCTGGGATCTTGGATGAATGCCATATTACTGGTCTAAGCTATTATATCAAGTGTAGATAGCTACTGAATCTTGAATGGATGGAAATAGTCCACTTATATAGATGATTACACTAGGAATATCCACTTCATTGACTTTATGCTTTTTCATGAAATGACCATGGCATTTAAATTTTGAGTGAATGTGAGCATCTATGTATAATATTATTGTTTTCTCTGTATATTGTTCTTTGCGAGGTCAAGATTGAGGATCTGTGCATATGACTGTAAATATTTTTGTGTTTACTTTCCTATACAACTGCCATCTATATTTGAATTTTACTCTTCAGTTACTTATCATATTGTGCTGGTGCTCTATGATTGGGTTCCACTTTATGTTTAATGTGTATAAAGACCATTTGTTTGTTGCAAGGGGTTAACCTTGTTACACGTGTAGCTAGGTTTCAGAAGTTCACTGCCTGGGGTCGGGCAACCACAAGTTTCCAATAGGGTATAACTTTTCTTCAATTGAAATTTCTTGATTTGTATATAAATTGTTAACTGCTACTTGTTCTTTGTTAACACACTGATAAACATGCACTAAATTAAACGCAATGGGTATCGATGTTACAGCATGGCGAAGATCCATTGGGTACTTTAATTGTACTGGAATTCCAAGGAAAAGTAAACCTGTGCCTAATGATATCTTTGTTATGGGCTTATTAAAGTTGTGCATGAAGCTCTTATATGGAAAGTGTGCTCAATTTACCAACTATTTTAAGTTGATTTTTATCCTAATCATTTTAATAGTCACTTTGAGCTTGTTAGATGTTTGTATCAGTCTGGTGATTATCTATCTAATCACAACATTAGCTTTATTCTATTCACTTATTGTCTCATGCTTACTGCCACTAGGTATAAAAGCATGCATGAGCCCATTGGATTATACCAATGAGTTATTAAGATTTAGAGTTATGCGATGTGTTTGTTGTTCTATCATGTTTATCTTATGGTTTGGTTGTATCATATGTTTTGTACCCAGTACAATCCAAACACTTTTAGCCATGTGTGGAGATATTGAGCCTAATCCTGGGCCTGATATAGACAACGATGTTCCATTAAAATTTATGTTTTCAAACATTAATAGTATTGGAGCACGGTACATGTCCAGATTTAATGCACTTAAAGAACGAATAGAAATAGGTAACTTTAAAATTGTTGGTCTATGTGAAGTTGGGAATTACTCACAGCATGATATTAAGAACAAATTTAATATTGATGGTTTTCATCCACCAATTTACATAAATGAAAATAGAGGTTTGCTTATCTATGTAAGTGAAGATATCCCTCAACCTAAACTTAGACATGATCTAATGAATGATAATAATGATGCTAGGCCACCGTACCAACATGACACGTGAATAATTCTGTGCTACTATTTTGTGCAATTTTGATGTTTTTGTAAACTTTATGGATTTATAACTGTATCAGCGTTCAATTGGAATATACAAAGAGAATGGGTAAGCTCAAGAAATCGCAAAAGTGTAAACAGGACAGTCAAAAACAGACTTCAGAAAGTTCAGCTGGTACAAAGGAAAACACTGAAAAATCAAACATGGCTGACATTGGAAAACGATTTGGATTTAATACAGATGGACCTAAAATGGATTCAAATACTTCAGCATCAATAATGGCATTGGGTGCTACGATCCAAACATTACAACAACAAATGAACAGAATCATGGATCAGAATATTGGAGTCCTCAAACAGATTGATCTTCAACGAGCTGAGTTGGTGAGTTATTTTGAGACTAAATTGGAACAACAAAAAGCTGAAATATTACAACATGTTAATGCAGTATCTGCTGAAATCAAGAAATTGAAATACCGTATTGATGGATTTGAGAAACCTTGTTATACTACGAATGAAAGTTCAGTAAATGAACTTGTAATTGTCATAAAGAATCTGCCGGAATCTTCAGAAATATTGGATTCTACCATGGTAAACAATGTACTGTCCGAAATTGTATGTGATGATAACCCGATAGATGTGTGCCCCACTGATGTCAAAAGACTACCACAAAGGCATGATAGTGCTGGTATTGTACTGGTTACGTTGAAATCTCCCGAGGATAAAGCACGTTTATTGAAGTCAAAAGCGAAATTAAAATACTCTAAGGAATACAACAACGTATATGTGGAACAGCAAAAGACCAGGAAACAGCTAGAATTGGAATATACTTTGAGGAATATGCAGAGATTCAGTAAATTCTGGCCACACCAGAGCAATAACATTGAGGCCAGGGGCTCCAGGATTACATGAATTTATTTGGTTTCATGGGCCATCCTACATTCAAGCTTTGGACATTATGAAGCAAACATTGCAGTGGACTTATGATATAATCTCGTAACCTAATTTAGGTCAATGCTCACACGCTTAATTGGAATTTAAAGAACATTATGTGAGTGAGATTCAACAAACAATAGCCGGCTGAGTTGATATACTTGTGGTAAAATGTCACGGACATTATAAGTAATACTTGGACTCTCATTGCCTACATGTATCATAAATAAGCGTTCTTAACATGAGTGGATTGTTCGACATTCTAGTTATTGACTGATTGTCGGTCTTTAATATTTTTTCATTCAAAATCAATAATTTTATTAGCAATATTTCTGAGATGGACAGTGTCTCATAAGCCATTGTTGGCTTGGGGCTTTTGAATAATTGAACGTATAATTATGTAACATAATAGGCCTGTGACACTTTAATAAATAATAAACTAAACTATTTGGCTTGACTTAAGAGTTAATCATAGAGTGATTACATATGGGCTTTATTACCGTTCACCATCATTAACACGTCCTGAAACCGATTCTTTTTTTGACCGCTTTAATACAAGCTGTACTTTGGCCAAATCAAAATCATCATGTTTTTTAGTAGTTAATGGTGATTTCAATGCTCGAAATAAGCATTGGTGGAGTGAAGATGTAAATAAATATGAAGGTGAGTCTCTTCTAGAATTATGTCAAAATCTAGGTCTTATACAGTTGATAAATGAACCAACACGTGTAACTTTGACAAGCAGGTCATGCATTGATCTACTTATTACCAATATTCCAAACTTGGTCACATCTTCCATGGTGACGCCACCAGTAGGTAATACTGACCACAGTACGCTGGCTTTTGAGACCCTTATTGGAATTACAAAAAATCCATCTTTTCTACGTAGGGTATGGAAATACGACAATGTTAATGTTTCCATTCTGAATAACTCAATTCGTCACTCGCGACTTTGTAATATAATTGAAGATTCAAATGACTTGAACAACATTGGGAAAGAGTTTACCAGTTCATTATTCGATATTTTTTGTTCTTGCATTCCAAATAAACAAATAAGAGTAAAATCAAATGACAAGCCATGGTTTACTGACAAAATCAGAACATTAATCAACAAAAGGAACAAATGTCACTATGCTTTTCGCCATTCAAATAAACCTGAACAATTTGATAGATATCTTGCCCAGTGCACAATTGTAGATAATGCCATTACTCAAGCGAAACTCGAACACGAAAAGCGGATAATTAGTAAAATGGAAACACAACATTTTGGTTCAAAATCTTACTGGAACATCACATCTAAATTATTCTCAAACAGTCGATCTAGTTCAATACCTATTCTTGTTGACGATCTGGGTAATACTGTCAGGTCAGGCAAAGATAAAGCCAATATTTTCCTGAATCATTTTATTAAAAGTTTTCATTTTGAAGGGCCTATTGATAATGCTTTTTTACAGCTTCGTACAAATGAGTCAATCAACATGCTGTCAACAAATTATGATGAAGTTTTTGAAACGTTGATGAATTTAAATGTAAATAAGGCCTCTGGACCAGACCAAATTAGTAATAAAATGCTAAAACTGGCAGCTCCTGCTCTCTCTCAACCATTATCTAAACTTATCAACAAGATTTTTGCGACAAACTGTTTCCCTCAATGCTGGAAACTTGGTAACATTGTTCCTATTCATAAGAAAAGTGACAAAAATACTCCATCAAATTATAGGCCAATTACACTTTTAAGCTGTCTTTCAAAAGTTACTGAGAGAATCATATTTAATAAGGTTTTTAAATTTCTTGTGGATCAGAATTTATTATATAATCTACAAAGTGGGTTTTTACCTGGCCACAGTACTCAATTTCAGTTACTGACAATAATTGATTACTTGACTGAGCATCTAGATGCAGGATTTAATGTAAAAGCGGCATTTTTGGACATCTCGGCCGCGTTTGACACAATTCCTCACAACCTTCTTTTGAATAAACTTCCTAGTTATGGTTTCGGTCCTGATGTATGCTCTTTGTTGAGATCATACTTAACTAATCGCAGGGTCAAAGTTGTCATCGATGGTCAAAGTTCTGAATGGTCAAAAGAAAGTTACATCAACTCTGGAGTCCCTCAAGGATCAATATTAGGCCCTCTTCTTTTTCTTATATATATCAATGACATTACTGACCATATTGACTCTAGATGTTATCTCTATGCGGACGATACGTCCATCTACCAGCCATTTCAAGCAGATGATATAGATATAAAGATGACTGAATTACAAAATGATCTAGATGCAATTTACAATTGGTCTGACAACTGGAAATTAAAGTTCAAAGCGAGTAAAAGTGCTGAGTTAAATTTCTTTGACCCTAGGAAAGCAGAATTGCTTACTCCTTCTTTGTCTTTGGGTGATGACATTATTCCAAAGGTAAATAACCACAAGCATCTTGGTTTAGTTTTTGATAGCCAGCTTACCTTTGAACCACATATTATCCAATCAGCCAATAAAATTGATAAGTTGCTAAACCACTTGAAAAGTCTATCAAGAAAATTGGGTGGTAAACATCTAAAGCTTATGTTCAACTCTTATATTTTGCCTCACTTTGATTTATATGATATCATGTACGGATGTGCAAACCTAACAACTCTGAAGTGTCTAGATAGGCTTTATTATAAAGCTGCAACAATATGTGCAGGTACAATTGCTGGAACCTCGTCTACTAAACTGTTTCATGTATTGAATTGGCCAACATTGGAGATTCGTAGAAAGATACATAGACTTACATTTATGTTCAAAGTGCAATGTGGAAATGTACCTCATTATGTTTCAACAATTTTTGACAAATACAAAAAGCCAAATATCAGAGATATTCGTAATGTAATACCTTTTCAAGTTCCACTACGTCGCTCAAGAATACGCTCTAGATCTCCCACCTTCTTGTGCATGACTGAGTTCAACGGATTGAGCTCCAAGATTAGAAACTGTGATACAATCAAGACTTTTAAGAATAATATTAGTCAAGTGTTCTTGAATAATGATATTATATTGGCCTCAGAGTTGGGCATAAATAGGGCTGACGAGATATATTTGAATAGAATAAGAGTTGACCTCATATTTAATGCTCACCTTCATGCCCATAACTTTGTCAATGTAAATTCACCTGAATGTATATGTGGTGACAAAAGTGAAACAACAAAACATGTAATATTTTCTTGTCCCATTAGACAACCATTCTACATAAGCTTTGAACAGAAGCTTTTTGATTTACTTCCGAACTACAGGCAATTATGCAAAAATAGACAAGATAAACTTGACTTATTTCTCTTTGGTCACCAATCTCTTTCTCTTAGTAAGAACCATGAAATACTTGCATCCAGTGCTCTGTTTATCAGACAGTGTTTCGAAAGACCCCAGGCAGTTTAAGCCTTTTACCATTTAGGCTTACAAATTTTATATTTACCCCTTATATAAGTATTCTATTTGTGGCTAATAATGCTTTAAGCCTAGCCGCAGCACTATATTGTACTTTCTATATAATATAAATAAATAAATATATATATAAAAAAAAAAAAAAAAAAAAAAAGACTCCAGATGACAGATTCGTTTACGCTGAGTCATCTAGAATAAGCCGAGTCATCCAGAATAAGCCGAGTCATCCAGAATAAGCCAAGTCATCCAGAATAAGCTGAGTCATCCAGAATAAGCCGAGTCATCCATAATAAGCCGATGGATGGATGGATGGATGGATGAATGGATGGATTGATAGGATAGGAAGGATAGGACAGAATAGGAAGGAAGGATAGGATAGAATAGGAAGAAAGGATAGGAAAGGATAGGAAGGATGGGAAAGAAGGATAGGATTGGATAGGATAGGTGGGATGGATATAGCCGAGTCATCCAGAATAAGCCAAGTCATCCAGTCATATCCCTCTTTCCTATCCTTCTTATCCTATCCTATCCTTCCTATACTTCCTTCCAGAATAGGAAGGAAGG